ACAGAAAACAGTAGTTTGTTGCTGGGCAGCATGAAACTAGAAACCCTAAAATTTTTGTGAAATCTCTGATTTTTAATTTCTTATTTTTTTTTAGCGCGTTTATTTCTTTGATTTTATTTATTTTTCTGTCCGGTAAGCTTATTGTCATTTCCTTTAAATTGTATATAAAACCTAAGTATTTGCAAACTTGTGATGGGGCTAAAGAACTCTTTTTGTAATTTATAATAAAACCCAGGTTTTCGAGAAAATTTTTTTGCGATTTGGACATCTTTTGCACAGTTTTTGTACGTAGAGTTAATAAGTAGTAAGTCATCCAAGTATATAACTGATAACAAGCCCTTCTGCCGTAAATAAGAAATAATCGGCTTTAATGTTTTTGTAAAAATTAGACGACCAACGTTGAGACCGAAAGGTAAGCATGTAAACTCAAAGAGCTGTCCCTCGAAACGAAACTTTGAATATTTTTGATAAGCCTCGTGTATTGGTATAAGATAATACGCGTCTTTAAGGTCTATTGTAGTCATATAGTTGTTGTTTTCTAGCAATTTTTTGACAATTTTGTGGTCGTCTATCTTCAAGTGCTCAGCGGTTATAAATTTATTTAGTTCTTTTAAATTTAATATTAATTTGTAAGTCTTATCAGGCTTCTGCCTTGAAAAAATTGTTTATATAAATTAATTGACAGATCTATTGCAGTTTTTTACTGGGCCTTTCATAATCAGTTCTTCAATCAAGGCAGAAATTTCTCTTTTTTCATCTGTTGACCAATTTTGTTCTTGTGGCTCAAATTTTTGCTTTGGTGTTTTGTCGAATGGGATTATAAAACCCGTAATCCAATCAAAGATTAAAGGGTCGCTGTTTATCTTAGACCATTTGTTTTTAAAAATCCTCAATCTGCCAGCAATTTTACTTACGAGGCTTAACGCCTTGTTTGGTGTGAGGTGCGACGATTTCGATCCTTCTGAGTCCGTGGATTCTGCTGACTCTCTGATTTCTTGTACTTGCCGTATTTCTGCCCGCCTGACGTCTTCTGGTCCGTCCATCGATGGGACGGGCCGTATGAGTTTTTTGAGCCTTTCTGTGATTGATTTTTTGTTGGCTGACGAAGATCCTTTGCCGTTATCTCGAGGGCCTTCGCCGCCTTAATGGTCACGTCCAGATTTTCTCCGAAAAGCTGTTTGTTGCATTTTGTGTTGGACAAAGTATTTTTCAATGATGAGTTCAAGTTAGCCAGGATAAGACTGCGTCGGATCATGGATTCGTCTCTCTGAACGTCAGCTATGATTTTAATAGCGTTGCTGAGACACGCAACTGCGGGGAGGTCAACCAGATCTCTTCCATCCTTCGTGAGGTGAGCCAATGCTTTGGCTACGGCTCCAAGACCCGCTGAATTTTTTCGCTGTTTTTGTACGATGCGTGAATCTCTTTAGATAGCCGCTTGTTGCAGGACAGCCTCGATCTCGGCGTTCATTACGGGAGGCTTGGTGAAAACGCAATTTTTCGGCAACGGGTATTTTTTAATAAGGTTTGTCTTCTCCTCGGTTGATAGCCCTTGTTTTATTATGTTTTCCCAGCGCACAGCTAGCTTGGGGTTCAAGGGATGAGCCAAGACTTCTCCTTCTACCGTACGTTTGCCAATTGCGTTTGAAACGTCTTCGCTTAAAGCTGCTTCCTTGCTTTTATTGCCTCTTTCGCTCGACCTGTCCGAGTCTCTATTCTCGTTTTGAGAGCTTTTGCTTGTATCTGCAATGAGGCAACGATTCAAGTTAGAGCTTGAACGTAACACTAACAAGCATGTTTAAGGAGGTAGGCTAATAGCGCTTTAGGGTCAGAACCCCGAAGTACATGGTTAATTTTGAGTGATAACTCGCACATGGGTTAGCTAATAAAAAGTATTTTATTAATATTTTTCAGAGGATTTTATAGAAGACATGGTTTTCGACCATTATTTTGAGGTTATGAAAAATCTTATGTAATAAGGTCAAACAGAATTTAGATTCGAATTTAGCGATTTAAAAAACATTTAGCTAATGTTGTCTGGTTTCTGGAAGCATTTTTTGTGAAGCTGTGTTATTAACTGATAAAAATTAGTAAGAAATACCCTGTAGAAGTAAAACAAGTGTTTTTTAAATCAAAACCGCATTTGAAATTAAAACAATCGTAATAAACGAATAAACGCTCAATTGTTAGTAAGTATCAATAGAATTACGTAATCATATTTTTTTACGTTTTGTGTAAAAATATACTCTTTTAGTGAGATAGGTTAAAATACAGTATGATTTAAGACGTCAGAGTTATATTTATTTGTTTGTGTTGAAAAATTAAATTAAAAAAAGAATCGTAAAAATTGAAAATATTTTTTTTTCTTCTACACAGTTCTTAGCCTTCTTAATAAAATCGATTTAAACACTTTGGTCAAACTGCACTGCAAGTTTCAGGACAGCTATATAAATTTTTAAATTAATAATCGTTTTGTGACGTTATTTTTTATGTTACATAAAACTGTTGTGTGTAGCTTAATGATTAGGTATTAAATTATAAAATTTATTGATTGTTTATTCAAAAATGAAAGAGTTTATCTAGTTTCAAAATTAAATTTTGATGGATATTTTCACATTTTTTCACTGTAGTCTCACGAAAATAGGTTTGAGATAATCTAAGTAGTACCAATTGATGGATAGTTAATTAAAAATTTAATTATGTTTAGCTATTTTCGTTCCTTTAATTCCTCATTATATGCTTCGTCTACTTGGCTATCATTATCTTAAAACTCAATTGCTATGAGCGCTTGTAAGTCTATAGCTTACAAGCGTAGCGCTATACATGGAGCAAATCAATGAAGGTCCTCGCTTTTTTCCATCATGACTAATTGTTTTTAGAAGATAGGGGAGATTGTACTCTCGAGGTATAGGAATGAGGTAAAGAAAGTAAAGAAGTATCTACTACTACTCACTCTATTGGACTATAATACGGTATTTTTTTTCCTTAAAAATGCATAGACACGATAAAAAAAAGCTACTGCCTTCACATGTTTTTTCCGTTGCTAGTGCTTGTGCCCATGGCTATAGAATTACATGAGTTCAGAGCATATATATCATGAGCTCATCACATACAGTTGTACAAGGGGGGCATCTCCATTGCTTCTATGTGATATTTCCATAATTCTTCTCTTGACTTAAAAAATATCGTGGTAATAAACTATTGCAATATTCGGTTGCTTATTATTTTCAGTATTATTTACGATAAAAATCTGATTCGGAGTTTAATGTAGAAGTAATTATCGACTGCAGTGTTCCATTGTTTATGACCGTATTGGTCATTGACAATTAATATTTTAATTATTAATCAAACAATAATCCGTTTATGTATTGGTTGATTTTTTTAAACCTACTTGTGACTACTTGTTAATTTTTTTTAAATAATAATATTTTCGAACATTGCTTCGCCTCACTTTTTTTTCCTCCTAACTGCACAATTTATCTAAAAAAAGTTACACTGACCTCTTTATTTTTATAACCTACATTAGTATTTGAGTTATTTGTACTTCTAATTCATTAGATAAAATTCTATTTTTTTGTATTGACTATTTTCTCTGCAGACTAAAAATTGCTGCAATACACAATATTTTGCTTTTCTTCTGACTCACATGATATCATTTGGTATCCTTTTAGTGAAATTTTTTTTTTTTGGCACTATGCTTCTTCTGTTCTAAGTACTTAACTTTTTTGCCCTAAATTTTGAAAAATTTTTACTTCAGACTCCTAGTCTTACGCTTGTGACTCACTACTACCACCTGTACCCTTTAAATAAGAGTTATAGAATTTACCCTTATACTCATACCTTTATATTCAGCTTTGATTGTATCTAAACGTTGATTTATATATTTCCTTTTCTTTCTTATGCTTTACTACTGCGCGTTTAATGTCTGTTTGCTTTACCTCTTGGCTTACCTATCCTTCTGCCGTAAGTACGTAATAATTTTCTCTGTGAAATCTAAACAATAATCAGTACGTTTTAACATTACTACTGAGTAAATTTTTTTCTTACCTTTAGCTTTTTTGTGAGAGAACCTCTCTATATTCTCTTATAGATCCTTCTACTTTTAAAGTCCACAAACTCTTCGTTACCCTCGAGAGTTACCTCTGTTACCATTACTCTTGCATAACGGTATCTTACCTGTGCTTTAAATATTTCTCTTTACCACTTATATGTTTATACTTCATATGAAATTTTATGTTGCCTCATTTTTTCTCACACCTTTCACGTTACTTAAGTTTTATTACTCACATTTTCTAACCTTACAGCTTTTTACAATTAGTTTTTCTTGTACTCCGTTTATTCTCAGACTGCATTCCTTCTAAGGAGTACGACAACACTACTACTTTCTTGAGCTTTTGCTACAGTTATAATAACATTTTAGCTTATTTCTTAATTTTACTGCCTAAACTCTATCTTTACTGTCCAATTTTCATAAATTTACAGTGCATCTTACTCCCCTACATCTTAAACTTCGGTTTGATAAAAATAAGAGTAAATATTTGACAACGGACAAAATTAGTATACGAGAAAAAAAGCTGCCCGTATACATGTGTACACTTACTTTCATGAAATAACCAAGTTCTATTCGTGATGTATTTTATTTTCAAGCTTTTTTTATCTGAAACATTGGGATGCAAAGTGTTCTATGTATTCAAGATCCATGTAATGCATTGAAATTTGAAATAAAGTTAATACTTACTTATCGTTGCATGCCATCTTTATTTTATACTGCACAATATATTTTTTTGATAATCGTTATTCTCAAAATAATAGTCAGAAAATCGAAATAGCTTATATTTTAATACAATTTTGTTTATTGAATTAAATAAGTAATCTCCCGTGTTTATTGTACAGTTAGATTACATGAGCTCATTCTTGATATCTGTACCAGTTGTAAGATGAATTTTGGTTCCAAATAGAATTTTTTTCATTAATTATGTTTGAATTTGTACATTTTCTAGCAAGCTGCAGAAGAAAAACTAAGGCTTTGCAAGGAATCACTCGCCCAGCTATTGGAATGGATTTCTGAAAGAGAGAATACATTAGCTCATCAAGCTATTGTTAATGAAGATATTGACGAGCTTAGTAATCAGATCCGCAGTCTAGAGGTATATTTTATTTATTTGTTATTGTTGTGATAATGATGATGCCTGTTTTAAATTTTATGATTCTATTTATTATTATAGTTATAATTTTATTGAACTATTATCATCATCAGTTATATTAGTATTATTAATTTTATAATGATTAGCGAGTTTCTAATTATTTTCATCCTGCTTCTTGTTATTATTTTTATTGTTGATTTCATAATATTATCCTTTTTAAGATAGATAAGGGCAAGGACAGACATTGTATTAATAAATTACTCTAGGAACTACACAGATAAAACTAAACGCTAAAAGCAGTTAAGCAATGTTTTAAGGTGGTTCGACAACGGGTTTGTTTACAGTACTAGTAATTCATGCGTACATGTATATATATATATGCCTACACTGGCCATCTACCGGACAATGCTTCCTCTTTTTTCCTCCACCCACTCGTGGAATACTAATCCCATTGTCATCCCGCGCGAGGGCGTCGCTCGACTCTTTACGCTGTTCTTTTTCTTTTCTTCCCCGCGTGTACATATATATGACTACGACACTTTTTTCCCGAGCCTTGACCGATCGCCACTGCACGCGACTTCTTCTTTTTTTCTCTCTCTTTTCTATACTCACTTTTTTCTTTTTCTTTTTTTTTTTTTTTTTTTTTTTTTTTTTTTTTTTTTTTTTTTTTTTTTTTTTTTTTT